GTGAGATTACCTCACATTTGCATTTTTCTTTTTTAAACCCTTTCTTAATAAAGCAATTTATTGTCCAAAGGGGAAGAGACGTCAGGCTATGAGCATGCTTCAGTTTCGAGGCTCAGGCTTCTGAAAGCACCTCTTTCTGTTCACTCTCTGGTATGAATTGGAATTAATTTATATGTATTTTAACTAACATTTTGATACAAGGGATAGCAAGGATAACAAACTTGAAAGTACAAGGGAAAGCAAGTGAACAAAAGCTATATTCAAATTCCTTCTCCTGACTGTCACATATTCCTGCTAGAACACAATGTAGGAAGAAAGGGCTAAACTAAGGATAAAGTTATCTAAAAAAAAAAAAAGACTCAGTAAGTGTTACCCTATTCATGTACATGCATGTCTGTGTGTATGAAATCATGATTTTAAGAGGACTCAGCTGTATTATTTTTGTAACAGTGTTGTTGCTAACAGCTACCAGCAAATCTGCAAGGATTGTTCAGCCCCTCCATCTCCATGTCCTAATTCTCTCTTAATGTTCACCTTTAACTTAACATTCTTGTAAACTCATCCTTTATTCCCTAGTTCCTCCCCCTCTCAACTCCTCCTCTGTCCCCTTACCCTCGCCCTCACGCCGTGGGACCTGCTGGGAATCTTGCTGGAACAAGGTTAGATTCCATTCTGCCTTGTTTACATGTTCTCTGGTCCCTGCCTTAAGCTGATGTTCTGTATAAGATCCAAGAGCCCTTCTCCCTCAAATCAGCCATAATGGGCAATGACCGAGGGAGGCAGAGGAAGAAGGTCTTTCTTACCAACTGAAATTACAAACCAACAAAGTTTTGAATACAGAGAATGAGGCCACAATCTGCACCACTGTCACCAAGGAGGCGGGTACCAATGCCCCCACCTCCATCTTTGCTGCTTTGAGACCTCTTTTCCCCCTTCAGGGCTTCTCCTATTTATTCAATATGTGGTGTACTTTGTAGTATTTTATTTTATTTATTTTTTTTTTAGTGAGGCAGTCGGGGTTAAGTGACTTGCCCAAGGTCACACAGCTAGTACGCATCAAGTGTTTGGTCTGAGGCCGGATTGAACTCAGGTCCTCCTGACTTCGGGGCTGGTGCTCTATCCACTGCGCCACCTAGTTGCCCCCTTAAAGGTTCTGTTTTGTTTTGTTTTGTTTTGTGGCTAGGCAATGGGGTTAAGTGACTTGCCCAGGGTCACACAGCTAGTGAGTATTATGTGTCTGAGGGCACATTTGAACTCAGGTCCTCCTGACTTCAGGGCTGGTGCTCTGCCCCCAACTTTGTAATATTTTAAACTGAGTTATTTGGGGATGGAATAGGAAGAATTGGGGTGCTTACCCGCACTGTATTTAGACTCAGACTCCCTCTAGTTTGACCCTATAGATGTAAAATGAATAATGATACTTCCAAAATATGGGAGGCAGCCAAATTCCCAGGACAAATAAAAGACATTCTTGATTCTATGATTAACATAGATGAATAACCTCTCTTTCTGTTTTCATGTCTTGACTTTCAGTTATAGGTTCAACCAAATACAGATATAGTCATACTCATATTTGAAGTCTAGCTTTCCTAAGCCTGTATAGGACTTCTATTTCTCATTCATATTCTCCCTCAGACAGAGTGCCTCATTTCTACAGGTTATACACTAAGTACCATTCTTATGAGTACCCAGATACAAATTACTAGGTTCCAGGTAGTCATATACTATCCCATTTCTTCACTTAATTTTATCCTATCCCTCATCTTCATTATTTTTATCTCTACTCTTCTTGGTCTCCTGTCCATATATACATTTCCCCTTCTCTGTTCCTGCCTGGCTTCACAAAAGGTCTTTATCTCTATCACTCTCAAAGCCCTTTGTTTTGACTATTAATTCATTTATTTGCTACATTTAAAGCTCTCTCTTTTGTTACATTATTGAGCCACTATTGATGGTCTTCAAATGATTGTGGAGAACACAATAGGTGACATAGGGGGAAAAAAAAGGCCCAGTGTGCTGTTTTCAAAAAAGCAAAGAGAGTAGAATATGTAAACTATATAGGTCATCAAGTTTTACTAAATACCTAGAAAAGTAGGCAATGATAACAAACTACTATTATTTCATCAAACAGATAATACCAAACTAACCTTACTATCTTTTTTGACAGGGCTACTAGACGGTTGAATTAGGAAGTTGTTGAGTAGCCAGACCTAAAGAGTTAGTGATTTGTATCAACTTGGAAGGCAGATTCTAGTGGTGTGCCTCATTGCAAATGACCCAATGATAGTTAACATTTGTATCAATGACTTGGATATTATGGGATGACAAGTCTATCATATTTTCAGATGACTAGAAACTAACACAAAGCTCCAAGGGAGAGTTCATACAAAAAGATCTTGACGGACTATTACACTGGGCCTGATCTAATGAGATTAGACTACATAACCTTGAAGGTTGCTTCTAGCTCTAAATCTGTGATCCTAAGGTGAAATTTAATAGGAACAAATGTAAAGCCTTACATTTGGGTTAAAAAAATCAGTATCTTAAGTATAAAATGGAAAAGTGTGACTTGATAGTTTGAAAATGATTTGGAGTGTGTGTGTGTGTGTGTGTGTGTGTGTGTGTGTGTGTGTGTGTGTGTGTCTAATGTAAATCCAAGATGACTCCACAATGTGACATAGTAGCCAACTTGGGCTGCAATTAGAAAGGCACCATGTCCAGGCCCAAGGCAATGACGGTCCTACTGTGTTTTGCCTTGGTAAGACAATATCTGAAATAGTGTGGCAATTCTGGGCACCACATATTAGGAAGGACATTGATAAACCAAAGGGCATTTGAAGGAGGGTAGCCAGTATGGTGACCATCAAGTCACTTGAGGATTGTTTGAAGGAACTGGCGTTATTTATCATGGAAAAGAGAAAACCTGGGGTGGTGGAAGTTACATGATAGCTGTCATCAAATTTTTTAAGGGTTCTCATGAGGAGAAGATACTAGACTTGTTCTGCCCTTCCACAGAGGGTAGAGTGAGAAGCAATTTGTATAAGTGTCAGAGAACAGATATAGACTGCCTTTAATGAAAAACTACCCAATAGAATGATTCAAAAGTAGGATGGGCTGCCTGGGTTCCTTTCCCAAGACGTCTCCAAGTAAAAGTTTAATTTTTTAATTTTTTTAAATTAAAAAAAATTTTTTTTTAGGCAGTTGGGGTTAAGTGACTTGCGCAGGGTCACACAGCTAGCAAGTGTCAAGTGTTTGCTCTGAGGCTGGATTTGAACTCAGGTATTCCTGACTTCAGGGCTGGTGCTCTATCCACTGAACCACCTAGCTGCCCCTAATTTTTACTTAAAAAAATTTTTTTTTTTTACCAAATAAAGTTTAGCTGGCCACTTCTCATGGATCTTGTAGCAGGGATCAGGTGCAGGTCAGACTGGAGGTCCATTCCAGCTATGTGATTCAGTGATTCTCACTCACACATAAAGTTCTAATCATAGATCCTTTACCTTTTACATAGACACATACACTCACATAAGCAGCTTCCCAGGTACATACATCTTTTTGGGGGGGGGGCGGGGGAGGAGTCAGTTTGAGAAAGAGTCTAGGTTTGAGATTTTATTCTTATAGAGGACTCCCAGTGAGGAAACTCACTCCTACCATTGTAGATTAGCAACTATTCCACAGATTGGAGTCTTAAAGGCAGCTTGATTCCACAGGTGATAGAATCTGGGACCTGGAATCAGAAAGACCTGTGTTCAAGTCCTGCCTCAGACACTGACTAGCTGTGTGATCCTGGATAAGTCACTTAACCTCTGTTTGCCTCAGTTTCCTCATCTGTAAAATGGGGATAATAATAGTACCTACCTCCCGGGATTATTGTCCCCTGTTGGGACCTACTAAGATAATATTTGTAAACAGCTTTGCTATCTTAAAGTAGTGTTGTTGTTGTTGTTGAGTTGCTTGGGGCACCCACCAGAGAATTTATGTAACCTACTGGGGGCCACACGGCAAAAGTACGTATCAGAAGCAACCCTTGAAGCCAGGTCTTTCAGACTGAGGCTGGCTATTGAGCAATTCTGTCACATTGTTTCTCGTGCATATTTGCCCAGAAAGGCTATATACACTGTCAGTTTCATCAGTTTCACTCAGAGACGACCTTGCCCTCTCATAGAAACAATTTGAGAGCTGGAAGAGAATTCGAGATTGCCTTGTTCAACTTTGTGCCTCATATGTGAGCTTCTTGTAAGTTATCTCCAAGTGGTCAGGGAGGCTGCCCTGGAGAATCTCTGGCAACAGAAAACTCCTCACCTTGCCCAGCAGCCTGCTCAGTCTCTGTCTCCAGACCTAAATTTTGATTTCTCACATGCGAGGGTAAACAAGTCTTCATTTCATACAATCCCAGCAAACAAGTTTTATGCACAAATGCTCCCTGACAAGGCTTTCAGATGAAAATGTTTCTGCCACAGGAGCAAGAAGGAGCTTGCTCAATTTAAGCCAAGCTCTAGAGACAAAGTCCAGCTAGATCATCTCAGGCCGTTTCCCTGTGGTTTGAAGGCACTCAGTTCAAGCTAGTTGCCTGCACACTGTGGACACACACACACACACACACACACACACACACACACACACACACACA